CCCCGGCCCCCCCCCCCCCCCCCCCCCCCAACCGCTTCATCTACATTGACAATATCCCAAATATAATTTGTTCGATTGGTTTCAAATACCTTCTGTGTCCTATACCTAAATAATTTTTGTATTCCTCCTCTATTCAAATCTATATCATTTTCAGAGCAGTAGCCACAAAAACCCTGTTCTTTTGGAACAGGCTGAGTAATCCTGCCTAACTCTCTAGCTAAAATGCTGATACAAGGCAAGTCTACTGATAAGATGGAAACAATTTTATATAATTATTTATCATTCAAATACCCAATGCCAAAGTATGGATGATATAGTTAAATTAGGGCTCAAAATGCTTAAAAATGAGTATTTCTACAGATATTTCTTCATTGTTTCTCATTCAAAGAATTTTTAAAAATCTACAGTTTGTTCTTCTTAAAAGTTGAATATTAATGTGGAAATGCTGCTTTATTATTCCTACAGTGTCATGTTGAATTTGCAATGATCATTTATTAACTAAAACATTAAAATAGATGAAAACAATGTTAATCCCTCCAAAGCCATCCAAACAACTTATTCCTTAGGAATTTTGCAGGGGGCAGTGTGTGCACTCTATGCCAGTGATGAGGGACTATTTTCAGCAAGGCTGAGATGGCCTTTGGGCTGCAGTGGGACTTCCGATAGGAACATGTATAAGATAGGAGGGGAGACGGCAACAAATGAAACTAGAGCAGAGTGAGAGGGAACTGGCTTGTGAGAACTAGGCGGAAGGCAAAAGGGAACTTGTACTAGAAGTAAGAGGTGAGAGTGAGCACAGGGGAAGAAGAAAGAAATATCTGCAAATGAGCTTACTTGACTTCACTTCCTCAGTGTACAACACACTCATCCTTTGTGTTCTAAAGTGCAATGTAAAGTAAATGCAACTGTATAATTGGAGTAGCATGAAGCTCTCACCCACAAATAGGACACTAGATATATTTATCAGTATAAAAACTGAGTGTACGCTTAGGTGAAACACAAATAGTAAATGACTGCATAGCATTAACTTTTAGAAATACTCTTTGATTCTTTTTAAACATCAGCTTTAAGGTTTAAAAATATCAGAATTATTTAACAAATAAACGAGACATAAAACAAAAATGTGGTTGCATGCTTCATTGCTATTAACACGGAACACAGCATGAAAAATTACAGATGTAAAGGATACAAGCAAACTATTAATTTACCTTTGGGCCAGGCAGTCCATGGGGTCCCTGAAAATAAAGATTTCATCTTTTAATGAAGAAAGTAAAGTATACATGTGCAGAAGAGTCAGTTGCTTCTTCTAGGTAAAATTTACACCTGCGTTTTTGTCCTCAAAAAGTAAATTGCAGGCACAAATAAATGTAAGAGCAACTCTAAGCATCTGGTGAGGGAATAAAATAAAATTGGTAGTTACAGTGTTGACCACTTAGATTTGTAAACACAGTCAGTTTCTCCACTTCCCAAGAATTTGAGGCAAGCCTGGATTAGGATCCCAATCCAGATCCAAAATCCGTGATTTGGGATCATCTCTGATAGTCACATTACTTCACATCACTTTCATTAGGCAAGTGTTACAACTGGGAGGTAGGAGTGAAAAAAGAAGCTTACCATAGGGCCTGGTGGACCATGTGGACCTGGTGATCCAGGTGGTCCTATGATCTACATATAAAAACAACGTTGTTAAGAGGATGGAGGCAGGAAGCTCCCTTGAAAATACCAACAGTCATAATGACCCTGCTCTCTGGTGCACTGCTAACAGTTTTGTTACCATTCAGATGGAAGAACACTGCAGAGCACTGAAGCTGCTATCCCATGCTTAGAAATCTGTCAGTTTGGAAGAGCCCTTAGAAAATAGTTACATAACTCTACATGCATCTATGGCATCTGCCCCAAGGCTCTCAGAGTGGGTATTATTCTCAAGAAATCAAAGAAGAATCAAAGAGGGAAGAAGCAACTTGTCCCAAGCCATATTAACAACTGGAAACAGAATTCAGGTCTTCTGGTTTCCAACCTTACACTCTAGCAATCAGACAGCATTATCCAGTAAAAATATCTTTAAATCATTACTGAATAGCAAAGCTTGGACCTTCTCTTTCTTGGCATATGTCGCTTGGCTGTTGTTGCACTAGATTTTTTTTTACAGGAATAGATGATATAATGTCTTTTCTGGGTTCTGCGTCAGTCCTGATCAATGGAAAAAATACTAAGCAAATTTCTCTCAGGTCTTGGCACCACCCAAAATTACCCTCTTATTTGATTTAGCCCAAGAATCGCTTGCAGCTTAATCCTCATGCTGAAATCACTAAAACAGGTAATCAAGTTATTCTGCTTTCAGCATGTACTCATTATATGCTGGTTTACTTATCCCACCAAATCCAGAAAGGGCAATTCCATGATGAGATTCACACCATTTAATAGCATTTCTCACATGGGGCTCAGTCCACTGGGGTGGGAGGGAGAGTTCTGAGAACACCAGCAGGGCTGCTGAACCAGTCTACTTAAGTCCTATCTCCAGGGAACATACAGTGTTCAGGTGGAGTTTTAAAACACACAGCTGGAAAAAAGGACGGGGTAGGAGCTGTGGGAATCATCTCCAATAAGAAAAGGAGAGTGATTGTCATGACTGCATTCCCAAGGGGATGAGCTGGTTACAACAGCACTGCTAAGGGGGGCAGAAAAGTGTGCTCTGTGATTCTTGCGCTCTACACACAAAGTGATTGATTTTCCCTCTAGGTCTAAACTTACGCTCTGCAGTGAGAGATGAAAGGAGAACAGAAAGCCAGCGATTCTCAAATTCTTGTCCAATCTCTTTAGCCTGTCACTGTGGCCAAAATGCCTCAGCTCCATGACCTATAATGGTACTTCTTTCCATCACATTCTTTGTTGTAAGATTTAATTTGTGTTCTTAAAGTGCTTTGAAGCATATAAAAGCCCAGATCTGCAAAAACTTGTACATGTGTTTATGCTTACTCATGTGAGTAATCTCATTAACTTCCATGGGTCTATTCATGCCAGTGAAGTTACACACATGCAGAAATATTTGCAAGATATTTAAAAGGGCTCAAGCCTTTACAGCACCTGACATAATGCCCAACAGTATCAGTGGGATGTTTCTCTTGACTTCAGAGGGGTTTGGATTGGGTCCTATGTCATTCTTGTCTTCACCCTGATAGCCAAATGAAAATCTGCTCTGCGGGTGTCTTTGAGATACTCACTGTACAAGGCCTAAAGATAGATTGCTTAGACTGGAAATTCCCAGCGATTTTATCTCTGTGTATTATCTTTCTAAACATTTATTCAATGGAACTTTTGTCACTGGATTATGTCGGGATATGGAACAGAACCAACATTTTTAGCAGGTTTTTAACCATATTGTGCCAGTCTAGTTTTGGAAAACAACGGATCTGTTTTCTAGAATCCTTAATACACTCATACTATCACCCAATGGATCCCAGATGGCTCTTTTTGGTTGTCCTCAGGGGGTGCATCTACATGTGCCCCCACCGTGCAGTTGTTACTGCACCGTCATTTAGTGTGGCACATGGTTATTTTTAGCAGCTACATTGCCATAGCTATGTGCTATAGTGAGAGAGCTCATTGCAATGGCCCCATAGTGGTGGCATCATGGTTTGGGCATGCCGACACTACATCACCATAGCATGTCATTATGGCAATGTAGCATCTCATGTAGACATGTCCAGGGTGTAACATTTTGAAACCCAAACAGTAGGAAATGTGAGGCTGAAGGGGAAGGCCTTCCAAGGATGCCACTCTCCTGTAGTGCAAAGCGTTTCTCACATGGGAAGTTGGAGAACCACTGCTATATGTCCTGTGACAGCATGGGGAGACTTACAGAAGGACCTTGAGGACCCGGCAAACCAACATCTCCTTTTTCTCCTTTCATACCATTGGCTCCCTACAAAATCATCACAAAGTGGCATTTAACAATATGTTCAATCTTGATAACAATGGAATTCAGTCTAGAGAAAAGCACATTGTTTTGCTTAAATATTTTATTTACAATTTTCATGAAGCAATCATAAAACTATAGTACTACTTAAAATGGATGGTACCTCTTTACATAAGCAGGGCTTCCAAACCCAACAAAATATTTGATAAATATATACTTAAAAAAAAGACAATATCTATCAACTGTTAGGCTACCAAACAGTTAACAAAAGTAATGGTTGTATATATGGCTAAAATAAAGATAGTTCAGACAGCATGACATTTACAAAATGTTCTCTCTTGCACCGCTTTCATCGTTTGTGTGCTTGCAAATTTTTTGTACATTTGTGTATGTGTATATACATATAATGAATCCCTGTATAAATACAAGATTTTCCATAAATGTTGATGTATGTTCTCTACTTCCTTGAATATGTGAGGAAGCCACAGAAGTTTCTGATACAAGAATATCTTTCTTTTCAACTACCTAAAGGGTGGCTAAAGAAAGGATGGAGCTAGACTGTCCTTAGTGGTGGCAGATAACAGAACAAGGAGCAATGGTCTCAAGCTGAAGCAAGGGAAGTTTAGGTTAGATATTAGGAAAAACGCTCACCAGGAACAGTAAAGCACTGGAACAGAGAGACTGTGGTATCTCCATCCTTAAAGGTTTTTAAGACCTGTGTAGACAAAGTCTTGGCTTGATATAGTTGGGGTTGGTCCTGCTTTGAGAAGGGGTTGGACGAGATGACATTCTGAGGTCCCTTTCAACCCTAATTTTCTATGATTTTCTATGATTCTGTGACAACAACCAGAATGGAAAGTTCTAACACATAATTTTTGATCTAGTGGTCATAGGTTTGCCTAGACCAGGTATAGCCTCCTTACATTTTCAATTTATAATGTTTTATGCTATTTCTGCAATTTACAGACACTGCTAAGAATTGCCAGTTATGAAAAAATGAATGATTTTCAGGGTAAATCATTTTTAATACTTACTGGTAAGCCAGGCAGTCCAATTCCACCCTTTTCTCCTGACATGCCAGGCTCACCCATGTCTCCCTTTGAGCCTTTTGGACCCTGAAACATCATATTTTTATCAGGCAAATGTCTTGTGCGACAGTGACAAATCACTGAAGTCCTTAATTTGACCTTTGTTTTATCCTAGTATACAGGATAAACCACCAACACCTGGAGTTTTTATTAACAGGAATTAATGCACTCCTTATTTTATCATTCTATATAGATTCTCACCCTCCAACCCCATGTATAATGTAATAGTTTCCTCAAATAGGATTCACTAGATCTGGCACAAGGTGATGTACTCAGTACCTGATCCCCATCAGCTCCTGGAATTCCTGGGGATCCTGGTTCACCCTGCAAAACATTTTATGGAATTGTGTTATGGCTCCTAAATACTCCAATTACTGATGGGAATATTTCATGCTAAATAAAAAAAATTAGGCTGGCTAGTAACATGCCTTACATATCAAATGCAGACAACAAATTAAGTAATTCGTCATAATAAATACCAAAGCCACTGAAATATGACCTTATAGAGATCATGAAAGAGAAATATTCTCTTAGCAGATGTTTGTGGAAATGTATTTGCTACTTTGTCTATACACATCAAGCCTAAAATTGGCCCCATTAGAACACCAGAAGAGTGCTTCAAATGTCTGCAAGTTGACTGACCTATACGACAAGGAAAGTTCACCAAAAAAACAGCCACTGTGCAGAACATTGATCCTGCACCTTTAAAGTCAATCGGACCTTTGCAAATAACTTCAACGAGCACATATTCAGGACCCTGGTCAAAAGCTTAGGATATTCAAGAATGGTGCTAACAGCCTGGGTGAAAAAGTATGGACCACAAAGAAACTTTAATTTTTCTGTTTATGTTTGCCTCTCATTTGGCTGTCTGGGCAGGAAAGAGCCTGCCAATAACAAACATGCTGACTTACGCACTGATTCCTGAATGCCATTCCTAAGGCAAAAGCTGATTTGTATGGCAGTAGGCTGGACCTTTCTATCTAGCCCGCTTCTGCTTTATCTCGTGAATCCAGGAGGAGAAAGAATACCCAAAGAACAGGGAGCAACATCTGCAACTTCATACACCTCAAGCTTTGCAACGCTTCCCTAACTGGAAGTTGCAGAATTTCTTGGGGGTTGTGCCCCATATCAGGAGGGCCCCATGTCAGTTTGTAACCAACAGAAAGACTACTTTCTTACAAGTTCCTACATTGGTTCATATCTATATCAGCATCTGGTTAAAAACCTTTAGATTTAAAAACCATTTTTGGATAAACAGTAATGAATGCCTTTTCCTACCATATCATGGGGCACAATGAATCATACAATTAAGACAAATGACTGTTTCCAGGATGGGCTGAATGACAAACTACTTGTTTTTCACAAGAACCTGTAATTTACTGCTGTTTAAAACAGATTTGATAGAGCTTATATTATGCTACATTATAAGTTTAAAGGGCCATGAGAATTATCACTTATCTTAATATTCAACATGAGCGCAAAAAAAGATCCATTGCTTATTTCACACAGTTTTTTGTTTAAAAAAAACTTCATAAGCACAACTGTATGATTTACATGTCATAAACAGGATTCCACATGAAAAATGCTTTGCATGCAGTTCGTAAAGCTTGCACTTATATTTGAACATCAACATATATTTGAAACCCATCACTTATATTTGTAGGTCATTGTACAGAATATATTGGAACTATCAGAATATGTTGACTCGCAATTAATAAATGTTCTATGCTTAGAAATATTTTATATGAAAGAAAAATATTTCTGACTGAGCAACCCAGGAAGACTCAGTCTTGTTTTGTGGGGATACCCTGGAAAAGCAGAACACTATCCATCCAACCCTGCATATCGCTGCCAAATCAGCATGAATGCTGGTTCTCTCAAGTGCCATATATGAAGCTGCCATAACAGTGGCTGAGAATGGTGGTAGTTGGCCTATGGTGGTAGCCAGTCTTCTAACTGCCTGTGCATTTTTAATTCTGATGGCAAATCCTGGGATTGGAATATGGTGTTCATTTTTTGGAGCAGCAGTCTAGTGTGTTACAGCAGGGGCTGGCAAGCTATGGCCCATAGGTTGCATCCAGCATGCAAGAGATCTTACCCAGCCTGCCAAACAAGCCAAAACAGAAGTTTATATATCCCACTGTTGGTAAGTTTTGCATGGGAAGTGCAGGGATGGGCAATTATTTGGGCCCAAGGGCTACACAAGGAGTTCTGAAGAGCTGTCGCGGGCCAGGTCAGCACCCTGCCTCCCCCCTTTCCCCTGGAACAACTCACGAAAACCCACTATGGGGCTTCAGGCAGGCAGGGAGCAGTGTTCAGGAGTGGGAGAGGTGGGTGAGGCTGGGATCATGCGGCCAGGTCACTAGGTGGTGAAATTTCCAAGCCAGGCCCCTGTCCTCTGCAGCTGAATCTGTTAGCATGCCTAATCTGAAATATGTCCCATCATTTAATATTTCAAGGAGACATGCTGTCCTATAGAGTATATGCAGCCTCTGGCATATGTATAAACCATATGGGCAAGCAAAAAGGGACACCAAGAATGCCTTCACATTTATCAGAGGATGTGTAAAATAGAAAAGATCACCTTTAGTCCTTGTAGTCCTTGAGGTCCTGGTGGCCCTGGTGGACCCTAGAGACAGAATGAAACCAGTCTGTTATTTTTGAACTAAGTTCTTGAAGACTATCATTTACACACAAGTGCGAACTTCACCCCTGTTAATAAACACAACCTATTTTTCTAAGAAAATAATACTAACACATGGAAGACCCAACACCAACTATAAGCAGGGTGTTAATTTATGACAACTCTCAACAGACAGTGTCACCACACACAAGCCTCTGTTACAATGACATTAAACATTTAACTTGTATCCTTTTGCCTTGCTACTTCAGCAGAGGTAGCATTTAAGATTGTTTACTGTTCTGAATGGTACACAGTCGGGGTGCATTACAAACAAAAACCTATAGATACTGTAATAGTGTCTGCAAAGATGGCAAAAACAGGACTAATAGAATGGGAGAGACAAACATTTTAACAAAAGTGGAATACAACTACCATAATTACTTGCATACCACATGCACATCTGCCCCAAACATAAGTCCTCCAAAATTGGAGAGGCTATAAAATGTCTGCTGCTTCTCTTCCATCTCTCACCACCAGGCAGCTGTATGGAGGGAGGGGCAGAGTCTGGTCTTCAGCAGCAGTTACAGTTTTAACCCTTTTGCAGCCACTACTGCAAAGTAGGTTTGGCTGACCAGCCAAAAACTGCTGCCAACTGCTGAAGATTAGGCTCTGTGCCTGTTCCACGTGGCCATGACTGGAAACATCTTTTTTCTTCTCTTAATTCTGTCTTCTCAGAACAAGAAGCATGTCTTATTTGTGGACATGTGGTATGTGGGAAAATGCAGTTTTTAATTTGATCAAATCTTTAGCTGGGGGGCAGGGGAGAGGGAGAGGGAGACTGATTCTGCTTAATTCTGAACACCTCCTTGGGGGATATGGATGATTCTGCAGGATCTGAGCTGCAGGAAAAATTTTAGTATTTGAAATTAAAATGTCTTTTAAATGTATCTGATGAGTGGGGCAGGAGAAACCCATAACTGAAACCACTAAATCCTCATCTAATATATAGCTGTTTATCTAAATTGGAGTACCTTTGAAAGGAAAAAAATACACCCAGGAAGATAACTCAAGAGGAGTTTCTACCTGATCTGATTTAATAGAATGTCTTTCCTGAAAAATAAGGCTGATTAAAAAAAAATATGCTATCCAGAGTTCAATCCTGTCCTTCATGTGCAGGCAAAACTCTCATTTAAATTAATGAGAGATTTAAGCACAGAGTAAATCTAGCACCAGGCATCTGGCCCTTGATGGATATTGACAGATATACTAGGAGCTGTATGTGCCCAGTTTGTGTCCTTTTAAAATCAATGTTATTTTTTTCATTAATTCAAGAGCAGCAGAATCAGGCCTATTGTTGAATGGGGCTGAACAATAAGGAAAAATTTAGTGAAGAGACATATGTCATAATGTACAAGGTCAATATCGGATGAATGAAGACACATCTTAAATTGGCAGAATTATGAACATGCTACTACACAAAAAAACAGCTACAAAGCACAGTAAGTCATGCAGTAGAAATTACCGTGACAGTTAGAGTAGTAATCCTCTGTTGGCAAAATGTATTAACAAAAGACATTGTTACCAGAAGTCAACATTGAATATTGCACTTATTTAGTAATGAACTATTATTAATTTGTGCTGTATCTATGAGATCATGTGTCTTGAGCTAAAGTTCAAATAACACTTCTCATGACCTTTTCATAAATATAATGATTCATGAGCTGCCAATCCTGCTCTCCTGTCCACATGCTTTACTCCCATTGATTTGGGATTTTATACAGATAAAGACAGCTGGATCTTGTCATCAAGTTATCAGGGTCAAAGTTGATGTACTTTAACAATAGCAGAATTTGGGGTGTTTGTGGGGGGGGATTTTGACTTCGGTATACCTATATGTTAATCTGCAATGGTTTCATTCTGCTGAGGACTTAATTAAAAAAAATTAAGAGTTGTCACTCTGGCACAATTTAAATCCTGGTTTTGCATCAGTGGTTAATTCATAATTACAGTTCTCAGAGCTGTGATACTAGTGGTGATACCAGTACATAAACCAAGGCATTATAAAATGATAGTGCTAAATTTGAAGTTGCTGATCTACTATATCAGCCATGTTAATTTCAGCTCCATTTAAACCATTTGGAAACAGGCAAAACAATGTTTTTGTAATAGAGAACACAAAATAGCTCGATCAGTGATTTTTACTCTGTCCAGATAGTACAGGCAACAAGTAGTAAAAATAGCTGGAGGCAATTAGACATTACTTGGTTGAGTCTTTTGAACACTGTAAGACCCAAATACTGCTTGTTTTATCAACACAGATTTCCCCATGTGAAATGGGAATACTAGCACAGACAGGCCATATGGTATTTCATCTTTAAAATTCTTTTCACTGTGTGCCTATGTTATACCAAAGATATTCCTAAACCTAATGTTTTCATCTCAAAATGAGATTCTTTTTGACACCTGCAATTTTATAAAGAACTGCACAGTCGACACTGCTCAAAACTTGAACCTTATCTAAAATTAATAATATAATTAAACCAAACATAATAATATAGAGCTGATATATGCACACTGAAGTGTTCATTTTCATCAGTATATTACATATTCAATACTTAAGGCGTCTGAATCTACATGAGCTACAAAGGAAAAACTACTTCCAGCTACTGTCTTTGACTTTGTGAGGATTATAGAAACAGATCTGAGGAGAGGTTCAGTTACACAGTTTGTTTCTGGTCCTCTAAGTCAAAGCTCCACAAACTCAGCAGGGCTCTTGCTGGAACTGTGAAGGAAATTTCAGTTCTTATGGACTATGATGTCTTATTCTCCACTGACACATGAAATGTTGCAGGAGGCATGAACTAAAGCAATTGTAAATTGTTCTGGGCCTTCTGGACTTCTTGATGATTTATTACCAAAGTCTACAAGAATGCAGCCAGACAACCTAGATCCTGTGAACTCAGTCAACTTCTACTTAAATCATTCGGTCAAATCCTGAGACAATGCTGAGTAGATGCTCAATACAGAAAATTCCCATTAGACTCAATGGCAGTTGCTAGTCCCAGAACCTCTAAGAATTTGGCACAAGGAAATTTGAGAATAGGTACCTGCTGTCTCACAGGACTGGGCAGGTAGCTGCCAAGAATAGTGCAACCTGACAGATCCTGTATCATCTTATTTATACAATCCTTACAGAAGTAGCCTCACTGCTATCAACTGTTCTGTCTCCTGATCAGATACTGATGACATTATTTACAATAAATCATCCTAAACCAGCTTGTTCAATGAGCTTGTTCTTAATGATAAAATATGTGGTTTTAAGTTATATTCAAAAGGGTGGGATTTACTAGTTTTTATTTTTCTGGGGGAAGAAATAAATTACTAACATGGGGCTGGATCTTATGATCCAGTGAATTCAATGAATCCAGTGAATTCAGAGAAAAGAAATCTGAATGACTTCAGTAAGAGCATGAACACACATAGTGAACTTGATTCTGACATGAGTCATACATATGTAAACCTATGCAGTTCAGTGGGGCTGGACAGGCCAGAATCTGGGTCCAAGTGCAGATGAAGATATAAGTCAGAGTGATCCTAATGCCACTGCTCTCATCACATCAGCTTGAGAATCACCTAGGCATTTTGCTTTCATATGAACATGTACTTACATTTTCCACAGTCCTCCTCATCCCCCATTTCCAGAAAACTATTAGACATTAATTTTCTGGAGCTCAATAAATAAGAAGGTGAATCTTTAAGTCTATTTAACATATTCAAGTTGCTGGTTGAATCCACAGTCTGCTAATGGATTCTAGTCACATGGTTTCTAAATCTCAAATATTCTGCTCTTTGCATTTTGTAGGGTGAGGAAGAAGAGAAAAAAATACAAAGAGAAAAACCTTATTATTATACTACTTAAATTGAAAAGCAGACACTTCCGTGGGCCCTACATAAGTGGTTTATTAGATGAATTCAGCACTAATAGCACTGGGGCCAGCTATGGATCAGTTCTATCCTCATCAGATGATGTCAGCACAGTCCTGGGGATGTGGAGTTAATTCACTCAGCTAAATTGTATCAAGGAACCTCTTTGTCTAACTCCAAACAGCGCATCTAGCTTCTAAGCCCAGAAGGACACTCTTGATTAATAGGCCCAGCAAACCTTTGATTTTCTATCCTATACAAAAGAGAAATATAATTATGCACGAGCTGCCTTGAGACATTTGAGCTTCTTCATGCTAACATACCTGCAGAGCTTCATGGATGTTGCCATTATAGTCAATGATCTCTGTTGCACCTTGATCACCCTTTTGTCCAGGTGGGCCCTGTAATACATTCCCCAAACACTGCATTTGAATCAAGTGCCACAACTCACAATAACTGATGGTTCCATTCTGGTTGAATCTATCTTTAGTTTAAAAGCGCTCCCTAATCCTCAGAGCTTTAGCATGTTAAAATTCAAGTTTTGGATTGACCTAGTATAGAAATGATATCCAGAAACTAATTTTAGGTCTGACTGGTGTCTTTTTTTTTTCAGGACCATAACTTGCAAAGTTTCTTATATTTTCCATTATCATTAGAAGGATTTTCAAAGGAGTGAAATTCACTTGATCAATTAAAAGAAATATTGATCCCTTTTCACAATACAGTTGAGCTGGTGCTAGCAAAAACCTTCATCTAAACAAAATTATTGCAAGCAGGTTTTTCTTCATGATTTTCCCAGATTTAGTGTTGAGAGGATTGTTTTCTGATACCCACATGGTTCATTCACATTTGTTCCTGTTCTTTTGATTTTGCTGCATTGTATTTTATAATTGTGTAGACTTTTCAAAAAATTACAGGTTGCAAAATTAATGTAAAATCAGGGGCTGTATAAGAGGAAAAACATTTTAAACAAAAAAGATAAATATAAGTGAGGAAATTATAACACAGTGAATTGTTCTGGGTAACATCACTATATAAAACCATGGAGTGATACACCAGCCTCACTCTCACAGAAGAAAAACAGACTGCCTTTTTGATTTAGTGCCTCAAGATCTCACAACCCAACATTCCCGATCTTCCTAATAAAAGGAAGTTTGAGGACCAAAGTGATTTTTCAAATTGATGAGAACACAGCATTTTTTACATTAGATCCAGACCATCACTTTAAACTTCAGCTGAAAATCAGTGTTTTGCCAATGCAGAGCAGGCATTCGCCAAAAAGTACCACAGACAATTAGATTAATCTACTATATGATAACATACTTTTCCCTATCAATACAGAACTCATGATAGCAACACTCTTCATTGCCCAACTTTACCCACAACCAAGTTTAACAAGAACTGCCGCACAACTTAAAATTTAATGTACTTACCCTTGGACCTAGTGCACCTGTATCACCTTTGTCACCAGTGTCACCCTATGTAAAAGTGATATTTGTAAACAAGAGAGACAAACAACTTGTCAGATACTGTTTTGGTGTTGGTAGTTCACATTTTTTCCCTCTCTCTATTAAAACTCAGCCATATTTAAAAGGAAATTAAAAATATTTAATTTTAAGACAAAATATGATTTAAAAATCCTTGACATTTCAGTAGTAGAGTATAAGTCTTTATTGCACAGGTATAACTCCTTTGAAGTCAATGCAATGACAAGACTAATGTGATTGTGTATGAGAGCTGACTTTAGCTGGGTGAACCATTTCCAATGCACTCCATTATTGGGTTGGCTTAGAAATGAACAATCAAATAAAAGGCAGACTGCAAATTAGGTGATTTAAACAACTTCTCTATTCTTAATATTATGGAAATTGCATGTTCCGCATTATCAAAAGTTTTAAGAAAAATCGTAAGAGTAAGTCATTTGGCAGTCTGGCTACAAAGCTGCTGCCAAAGGATTTTCCAAACTGCACATGCATTTCTTTCTGGGATCATTATTCCCACTGAAGCTTCAGAGCTTCCTATGAGTCACTGCCTCCTTTACAAACATTACTTTATTGTCAACACTCGATGATTCCTTTGCCACAGTATCTCAGGTGGGATCAAAATATTTTTCATCTGGCTCTAATCTTTTTCCTCCTAGCTATCATTAACAAGAGGAAACTTTATGCCAGAAACTTAAATCCAATTCACAGCCACTTTCACAGCTCTTTTGCATTTGGTCATGTCAGTATATTTAATTACATTCTGCTATTTCTGCTACTGTTTTGACCTATCTTGGTTCTTGGGACACAGGTCAGATCAAAGATTATTTACTGACTAGCATTATAGGGCAAAAGTGAGCCATAGTAGAAGGAGATCATAGTGATGCTTCCATCTGGCCCTGTTGACAGGGACTAAAATTTGAGACCAAGTCACTGTCATGTGACTCAAAAATCTGAGTTCAGTTCTCGGCTCTGCCACAGATTTCTTGTGTGATTTAGGCAAGTCAATTAACTGCTCTGAGCCAAAATTTCAAAAATACTGAGGCTCCTTAATCCTCTTGAAAATCTGTGACTCTGTTTCCTTTCTGTAAAAGAAAAATAAAGATAATACTTGTCATGCTTCTGCACTGGGATATATATGCTAGACTACATGGGAGGTGATGAGATCCCACAACGATGTAGGTCAGAGAAACAGATTGTGTTTTCATAGGAACATGGGACCACTTGGAGCAAGTCCAGGCCCTACTATTGTAGGCAACCATCGATAGTAAGTCCAGTTCCAATCTCTCTCTAGCACCGTAAGTTTCAAAGCACTCCCTAATGCTCTTCAGGAAGCTCTCTTCTCTTTGTGCATCTTTGGTGAGTTAATTCCTTTATCAACCTCTTGCCCTTCACACTTCCAAGGAGCCCCCTTAGCCAATACTCAGAACCTATAAGTGGAAAGCATACAAAGACTTAATTCTGCACACACTGAATTTAGCCACTGGGCTTCCACTATCTTGAGCTTGCTTTGCTTGCTGAGGGGAGTTTTCTATCCCTGGTCCCAGCACTGCTCAGCTCCCGGTTTCTCCCAGAGCAGTGCTGATATGGGGAAGCTCTCAGTCCTTGCAACACCAGGCTGGGGACAGAGAGCTTCCCTGCCTCCTCAGCCCTGCCACTGCCTGTGCAGTGCATGCCACAGTTGGCTCCTGTTCTCTTCCCATGCCTGGGAGGAGCCAGGAGTTGAGCAACACCGGGACCAGGGACAGAGCGCTCCCCAGCAAGCAAAGTGAGGGGAGAGCTCAGGGTGCTGCTGCTGGTTGGCCACGGGGCATCACCCCAAGCCAGAGCCACTGAGTCAACCTGTGATCCCAACCTCCACGAATGTGGGAGCTCCCCTCAGCTCTGGGACAGCTCCCCACTGCTTCCCAGAGCCCAGGCCTGACCTTCATTTCCCCTGCCAGCCTGGATTTGGTACCAGGAGAGACTGGAGCTCCCGCTGGTTGCTTCAGGAGGGGCAGAGAGCAGTAAGTACAGTCTTCTGTAAAATCTACTTAAAATCCATTACAGTACTAAAGAATTCAAGCTTTAATTTTTTTGCCCTGGCCCAAGGTAGTTTTTTAGCTGGCTAAAAGATCTGTTGGAGGGGCCAAGAACTCTTACACCATAATTCAAAATAACTGGTCACAAGTGCCAAACAGGGTATTAGTAGAACAGCAAAAATAAATTAATTTGTATTTAAAGAAAATACCCTCTCAGTGGTTATTTTATCAGCCTAAAATTTTAACAGCTCTTTTCCACCCCCAAAGAAAATGGATTAGGACACATTAGTTAAACACAGAAATCAAATCATACATGTTAAAAAGAGTAGACAAAGGAGGACTCACAGTTTTAAAATGGTATGAGAGAGAAAAAGCATAGTGTACAAAATATACAGGGCTTGGTGTTGAAAATCTAATAGTTAAACTCTGGCAGAAAGCTCTGGATGTTTCCGCTTTTTAAAAATTATAGGATCAGATCCTATTTCTTTCTAAACTGAAACAACGGTTATATGTAAAGTTACTAATGATGGGTCTTAGAAATCATGTTTCGCCATTAAACATAGTGCAGGTGCCACTGACCTTTGACCCCTTTGGGCCTCTAGTTCCAGGTTCGCCTGTTTTCCCCTGTATGAAGGAAGCCACAGAAGATGGACAGGAGAAAAATGTCAGAGAAAGGAATGAGTAGAGAAAAAATAAATTAGTAATGACTATTAGTAATTGGGCAGTGGGAACACTTTATTTCATAGAATCAACATCATGACATACTGAATGTAGTTAATAATTTAGCATCAATTTGCACTTTCTGCAGGTTCCATCCTTCTACAGAAATCATACTGGTTATTCTCTTACCATTATTTAGATAAGAGAGAGGCAAGTAAGCCTAGTTTGTAAGAGATGCTCATTGCATTGTCAGGCCCTTCCCCCAAACCTGATCACTAAATAGACCTTTCAAGTGTTTATAGGATTTTGCTATTCAAATAAAGTGTTGCCACAATGGTGTTCCCAGAAAAATCAGGTGAATAAAGATGTAGCTGGAACACAGATTAAACATTTCCTAGACATAACCAAGAGTGGAAAAACTTAGTTGCATTAATGTTGAGATCTCTAAGAGAATATAAATATGCCTAGGATTATTTCATTTTTTCTTACAAATTTAGGAAACAAACACATGGGCCATGTCCAAACACATGGGCCAGAAGTCCCAGGATCAAAAAAATACACAATGGGGAAAAAGTGGTGCAGGGTGCACTCCTGGAGCACGTCTTGAAGCAACTGGAGGCTGGGTCCTCCAGAGAGACATTCTAGCATCCAGCCAGAGCATCTCTACACTTGCTGTGTGTCTCTGCTGCTCCAGCACACTGCTTCAGTGTGCTGCAGCAAATAGAAGCAGGGCAAGGCTGGAAGGAGTGTCTTGGAGCTGCCTGGGACCCAAGCTCTGTCCCAGGCAAGCAGAGATGTCGGGGACGTCCCCAACCCACCCCCCTGCAGCAACAGCCAGCATCGTGACATCAGGGTGCTCATTGCCCACTGCTGGCAGAGCCCCCTGGCAGTGTGCGGTGCCACCTGAGACCCAGGGGCTCCATGTAGCACTTGGTGCCAACTGGACCACTGGTGTACACCTTCACACAGGACCAACCCAGCTCCTGACATTACCCAGGGCTTCCAGCACTGCATGCAGGAACCATGCACCATCAGGTTGGGATGGCTCCTGTCTCCAAGTGCCCCATACACCATCGGGCTAAGTCAGCTCCGTGGAGGCTGGAGCCAGCCTGGCTTGATGGTGTGTGGCTCCTGCACGCAGTGCCAGGATTCCCAGGTAATGGCAGGAGCTGGCCTGGTCCTCCCTGAAGTTGTACACCAGTGGGTCGGGCTGGCTCCATATGCCACATGGATCCCCAAGGTCTCAGGCAACGCCCTGCACTGCCAGGGAGCTCTGCCAGCAATGGGCCATGAGTACCTTGACAGCCCACTGCTGGCTGCTGCTGCTGTACGGGGGCTGTGCAGCATGGGGAGGCAGATGGGAGACCCAACCCACCCCTGCACAATCCCCCCCACCCACAATCCACCCACAAATCACACATCCTTCCCACAAATCTCACACCGTGCATACCCAGCCACCAGATGGGATGAGACCTGCTGGCAGAAGCTGTAGCCACAGGGGCAACTGCCACACTGCAGCCTTGCCCCATGTCCACACCAGTGCTGGGACACGCATCCCAGCCTGCGGGGGTTCCTGGTCCCAGGAACCACTCGGGAGGTGTGATGGGCTGGACAAGGGGTGGAGGTGGCAGCTGGAGTGTGTGAGAGAGACACAGAGATGGGGATTGGGGATGGGGGAGTACTCCAGGAAGGAAAAGCCACCAGAACCAGGCCTACAGCACCCCTGCCACCCTAGAGCAGTCTAAGAAGGGGGAGGCCAGCCTGGAAGGGAAGGGGCTTGCCCAGCCCAGTCCCTGAGCCCCAGTTGAGGGCCTCCCAGGAACAGCGTGGGGATCACTGAGGCCTGGACACAGGTGCAGGGAGCAAAACAGTAAGGGCTGGCACTGCTCAGAGCCACAAAGTAGTGGGCGGGACAGCTGCAGCTGGACTCATGTTCTAGTTCTGGGATGGAGCTGCTGCTGGGAGGGAACAAGTGTGGGGAGGCAGGGACTGCAGGTCAGGAGTGAGGGGTGCTGGTGGGGCTGTAAATTGGGAGCGAGGAGCAAGGGCATGGGCAGGGACAGGGTACCGGCAGGTCACCCTTTGGTGAGCAAAGGGGGCAGGGGTAGCTCTGATTTTCTATGATAAAAAACCAAAAGCAAACGCCAAAGATAGTTAGAATTCATTTTATTATGATGACAGAGGCAGTGGTAGGCTTCCAAATTGCTTAAAAATTGTAAATATATCAATAAAACATTGCCCAACTGATCTTTTTATATATAGTGGCGTTTCATTTTAATCGTGGAAGAAAGTGGATTTTGGGTATTTAATGAGAGAATTTGTTTCTTTTTTTTTATCAAACACTTTGCAATTTTTAAACAGGGAACACTAGGATCCCTGCAGGTGAGGCAAGTAGAGGGATCTGGGCAGAGGACCCTGCCCAAGGACAGCACCAGGCACCCAGCTGGAGGGCAAACAAGGCAGCTGACCTCCTGGCCATTTGGGGCCAGGAGGACATGCTTTGACAGTTCAAAGTGGGCCACTGCAACAAGGATATCTTCTGGGAGATAGCTACCCAGATAGCAGAGCGGAAGCACCAGAAGACATGACAGGAGTGCTACCCGAAGGCCAGCTGTGCAGCCACAGCCAACTGGCAGCTGGTCCAGAGGTGCGGGTAGCTCTGCTGCAGTGCCTGTTCCAGAGCCCAGGTGCCCGTGCAGTTCCCATCTTGGTCTGCAGGGGCGCAGCTATGGAGCTGCAGGTCCAAGGGGGTGGATGCTGTCGCTGGTGGCAGCAGGTCAGAGACAGGCCACTGCCAGACTGCTGCAGTGGGTAGAGGGTGCAGAGGCCACTCTAGGTTAGGGTTGTTTCAGCAGTCCAGCTGGAAGAAGGGGCTAGTGTCCCCAGATACCAACTGGCCAGGCCTTAGAAGCTCCTAAGGCCATGCAGCCCTGAGCTGCTCGCCGGGGCAGCTTTTTATAATGTTGGGGCTAGCACAGATGCTGGTCCCAGCCTCTAGCTACCCCGGCTGAAGATCTGGGAGGAGCTGGGCAGGGTCAGTTTGCCCCAAATGGCACAATTTGCCCCACACCAAAGGAAATGTTCAGCTACATGTGCTGAGGCATAAATCTCCAGCACAAATTTGTGCCGCTGCTATTTGAGCTGCTGTAAGTGCATGTGCCTGCATGTGTGGACGCGCCTGCAAAATACATTCTCTCTGAACTGTGGTTGAAGTGGGCAAACCTGGCTCCCTAAAATGAGAAACTTCAGGGGAGACCACTAGCTGAGTAAATGCTCATAGCTCCATAAATGTTCATAGCAACACAGGGCCAGCTCCCTACATCTCAAATCATGGGCTCCCTTTATGTTCTAGTCTGCCATTGTAAACATAAAACTGCTACTGGCTTCTGGGTGACACAGTATGAATTTAGAGTGTTTTCTTTTGAAATCTCATGGCTGTGTTTTTAAGAAGCAGTCACTGCATGTTCATAGATGCAAAACTAACAAAACATTTTCAGTGTGATATTGGACTGACCTTTGGTCCAGCAGCTCCAGGTTCACCTCGTTCACCTTTCCCAGGAGGTCCTGACTCCCCTTTCTCACCCTGTCACAGATGACAATACACACTTGAATATCACAAAACACTGGCAGCCTTTCACTATGATGCCAGCTTCACTAAATGTAACCACCGTAAGGGTAGATTTTAAAGCCCCCCTGATAGTTATGGAAAGGAAAACTTCTACAGAAATATAAAGTACTCTTAATGCAGAAGTGGACATTTTCTGCAATGCCATCACAATTATGTTTTTGTTAACCAAAACTGCACTATTTGAGAAACAGCAGGTGCATCTACACAAGACACTAGCTCATTGCTACTACGCAGTAGCATTGCCAGGCACTAGCCATGCAGTGATGCTACTGCGCAGTAGCGTCTGGCAAAAACTGTGGCAACAGTACTGCGCAGTAACACCAGTTACTGCCTAATCATTTAGTATTTAAGCAAGCGAGCAGGTGTGGTGGTCAGGGCAAGGTATCACAGGGCACAGGCAGCTGTGGGGGTGAAGGTGGCAGGGAGCAGGCAGGAGGGGAGAGGGTGACATGGGGCAGAGTCAGGGAGAAGCACAGGGCAGTGACTCCAATTCCAAGCCCAGGTCAGAGCAGGACTGGACCCACAACAGCTCTCTCTTCTCCTTCCCAAGCCTCCCACTCGAATCTCAGATGAAGAGCTTTCCCTTCCATGTTGAATGGGGGTGAAAACCTTGTCTTGGATTCAAATACGTATAGTACATGCAGTTGTGGTGCTTCTGTCCTTTCCTTGCAAGAATACAGGATTTATTCCAAAGCTTCTAGTGCCCCATATTGCTTCAGTAGCTTCTCCTTTCCCTTAAAAACAGACACTGACTCAGCCTTCTGCCTATATTACTTCAAGAGCTGACCACTACAGTAGACTGTATGTTGGGCTAAGAGTGAAAAAGCACTCCATTACTCCAGTTAGTGCAGAATACAACTGCCTTTATTATTAACTTTAAGATTAACCTTAAGCAAGTACTAAATGACTGAACAGTAACAACTGCACGGGACCCCAGCTGGGGTCTGCTCAGCAGGGGCACAGCAGCCCCCCTGGCTTTGCTCCACTTACCGCTTCAGTGACTGGCACACTGAGGCAGAGGGGAGGGAGGCAGGTTTAAATCCCCTCTCCCAGAGTCTGCTTGGCAAGGGCACAGCAGCCCCTGCCAGACTTTTCTGCACTCCCCATCAAAGCAGAGGGTGTGGGGGTGTGATCAGAAACCTGGCCATGCCCCCACCACCTCTGCTTGAGTGATGAGTGGGGAAAAGCCTGGCAGGGGCTGCTCTGCCCATGCCAAACAGACCCCAGATGGGGTGCCATGCAGGAGGAGGAAGGGGTTTAAACCCCGCTACCTCCCTTTTCTCTGCCTCAGCGTGCTGGCCCCAGCTGATGTCTGGCCACACCCTTCACCCCTTCTGCTTCAGCAGCAAGCAGGAGAAAACCTTGTCAGGGGCTGCTCTGCTCCTGCCAGGCAGACCCTAGTGGGGGTCCTGTGTGGAAGGGTGAGGAGGCTTAAAAGGCCCCTCCTCTCTCTGCCTCACTCTGCTGGCCTGGCCCAGGGTCTACCCCCCCCTCCAGCAGTGACCAGGGAAAAACCCTGTGAGCAGCTGCTCTGCCCCTACCAGGCAGACCTGGCTACAGTCCCAAGCTGGGTTTCCCGCCCCACCCTACCACCCGCTTCTCAGCCAGCCAGAGCAGTGATAGTGCTCTGGCTAAGGAGCAGAGGGGCAGGGCCAACCCTGCTTTGCTGAAGCAGGTAGTCCAGCCCAGCCCAGCCTAGGGCTACAAAGCATCCTGGGATGTTGGGCAACTGTGAATTAAATGGAACCAGGGAGGGGTCTGGGACAGAAGTTCCACAAACCAGTTTGACCTAAATCAGTTAAGTCTGATACATTCAACCAGATTTATCTTAAACCAGGTTCAGACATTTTGAAAGCAGCTTATGTGCACTGAATGTCTGTTCTGTTCGAGGTCTAAACTGGTTTCTGATCACTTAAACCATTTATGTGCAACTTCTGTCCCTAGCCTGATACATCTCGATTTTGATAAGTACCATATTCTTGTAAAAATTTTCATCCTTAACTTAGAAGTAGGCCCTTAACTTTGTCTTTGAACACTGGCATAAAGAATCCTGATATAAGAAGTGGGGAAATGTTAAACTTACCTTTGTTCCTGGTAATCCTGGTAGCCCAGGTTCTCCCTGTGGACCAATGAAACCTGGCTCACCCTTTAAAAATGAGAACATGTCAGAAAATTATTTACTTAACAGAGGAAATAATTACAATAACACCACTGTACTTCTAATGGTATTTTCCCCTGATCCCTCATGGCTTTCCTGCTGTGATCCAAGAACTAGAGATAGATACAATTAATCAGGGACGATTTCCACCAGTATAACATCTTGCAGCAAAGCATCCCAAAGCTTAAGAAAAGCAAATGAGCTGGAAGGCATCAAAGCTTGCTTTTGCAAAGTTAAGAACTGTTAATATGCTGCATGGATTATACTGCAATTTTACTAAATAAAAATCCACCCAAGCAAAACTAATACAGAGGATTCAAGCAAGAAAGAGGTTCCAAGCAATTCTTTGTTTCACAAGTTCAGGTTCATTTATTCACACTGAATAAAGCATGTCTAGTTGTTGCATTGCAATTCTCACTGGGGCATGGGGATGGATAGGGAAGTACGTACGTCATGTAGGTGTTTAAACTGGCATCTGGGCCCTAAATACAACAGGTAATTGTTCTAAAACAAATCATTAAAAAACCCCAAATGATAAGGGCTCAACTGTAACTTTACAATCTGCCCTGAGTATGAGGTGGTATGTAACTGCATTTCTCTAGAAGTAGGTCAAAGAATGATGTGTAATATGAGAAGTCACAAAAGTCTGCTATTCTTCCTGCATTTCCCACCTTGTTCTGAAGAGTAAATGACTTCATGCCTTTTCCTGTAGTTCTTTAATTCATCCATTCTACCCAGATGGTTACCCAGGCCAGCAAGTAGGTGGGATAGGTCTAGGACTCTTCCTATTTCCTGTCCCCCTGTACCTCCACCTTGACCATTTATTTGTAGAAGGGAGTAACAAACAGCAGGTGGCCTCTACTCTGCCCCACGGCAGCCAGAGTCACCATGTGGGCTGAGGAAGGGAAGCATGAGGACCTTCCTCCTTCCTCCTCTCTTTGAGTAAGGGTGGAGGTAATCTAATTTTTAATTACCCACTACAATCTGACAAAAAGTATTAAATAAAATAAGGAGCAGCAGATCTGATAGAGCACAAAAAGAGAAAGAGAAAAAAAGAGTATGGAATAAATAATGCAGAAGCATGTGTTTCTTATTGCTTTTAGGACATATTACAATAATAAAAAATGACCTTGTGGTTTAAATGTTAAGCCTTTGTAATGTAAATGTATTAGTGCATATCAGTGAGAATAACCATCAGGTTATTTAGTGGGGTGGCAAGCATTCCCTTTTATTGACAGCAAGCAAATAAAGGTACAATTTCAATAATTTACTTTAAAATCAGGAACATGCTTGACAGTTCAAAATTGTTTTAATATCCAAAAACACTAGCTGTCACATGGCTACCAGGGCAATTTATCACTAAACCTGTTGATTATTATTTCTATAGAAATGTACATCATTCCCATCACCCAATATTTTCTATCAGCTGTGTGGTTTAGCAATGTTATCAAAATCTTAATGCAACACTTTTAGACTGAATTCTAGCAGGACACTGTATATGGGACCTTATCAGAAACATCAGAGAATGCAAGATGATGACTGGCACATATTTTTTCTTGCTGAACAACCCTGTCCTCTGCCAAAAGCTGCATAGAAGTTGCTTTACAAGTTATTTTGTGACAGAAAGTAAGATCATATAGTAAGAGGTCTGTGGTATTAACTGCATGATTTAAGATGACTTATTTTAGTATTTTATTAAATACTATTTAATATTAATATTTTATTAAATATTTTATCAAAACCAATTATTATAAATACCTTGGGCCTAGGATAAATGTAGTGGACAAATCTGAGCAAATAAATCAGATTCCTCCCACTTTTCAAACTGGAAACTGCAGCCTATCATAACCCTAGATCTCTTCTGGGATGAGGCATAGGGACCTTTTATTCCATGTAGTTTTATGTAACTATAACCCTGACTTAGGAATGGCTCCTAACTAAAACCTACCTGAAGGGTTTATTTGTGCTTATAGCAGAAGTAATCTGCAGGGAGTTCAGTGTAGCTCTGGATGGGTCAGGTGTCAGAAAAAATTATGGCACCTATTAATGGTGCTTATGAGGGGTATCATATTTTCTTGCATACAACACACCCTGGGATATAATATGCACATGGTGTTTGAAAGGTACAATGAAGAAACTTCTCCTTCTGGAGTTATGGCTGAATGGAGCAGGATCAGAGCCCAATCTTCAGCTGCTCCATCCTCCTGTTCTTGCTTAACTAAAGCTAAAATCTTACCTGTTCCTAAAGGCTGGTCTCAAATATTGGATCTTTGGTTTTGAAAAGAGCTAAAGAGCCTCCAAGGCTGTTAAATAGGAGGAGAGAGACTAGAGTAGCTAGCAGACAGTGAAATTGCCCTAAAAAAAAGTGTCATGTCAAGACCACAAAAAGGAGAACCATTTATTAACACTTGTGCAGTAGTGAACAAGAAGCCGTTAAATTCAATTGACTCTCTCAGCTTTCCTAATATACAACTGTTACTGCACTGTGGAGCAGAAATCAAAGCAGGGTGCTTCTGTCCCAGGCAGAAAATCAGTGTTATTGTTTACCATGTAAAACTCAATTTTCTGGAAAGAGGTGTTGTATGTCAAAAAACTCAGTATATAAGAATATATAGATTTTGGCTAACAAACAGAATCTAACATAGTCTCCTAAATTAGTATACTTAAATAAGTTGTTGAAATGTTAAAAGATTAGCAAGCAAAATTAAGCTTCCATATGAATGTTTTAATAAACTTTAAAACCCTCTAAAGCAGACTGTGATGACAGAAAAGGTCCATAAAGGACACTCTGTGCTGTATAGTAAGTGCAGGTAACTGTAGCAAGACGATTCCTGGCTTTTCTGCCAGTTACTCATAAAGAAAATATCTACAAGTAAAACAATTTATATTCATCTTCCTGCAAACAATACTGGCTTCCTGCTTTGTGTTATCATCTATGCCACTCAGATAACAAAGTAAATGGGATTCTATCCAGATTAGTATTGCCAGTGATGTGTGAAATGTAATGAAAACAAGCACTTTCATCTCAGTAACACATGCTGATGCCCCTGCAATGCAGAGGAAAGGGAGAGATCATGAAGTCCATGATGCAAACACCACAGAAGGGTTATATTAAAAAAAATCCAAGAACTATCTTTTTTAAGAATGGATGACACTTCAAAAGTAGCCAGCACAGTGCCATAAAAATATAAGATTAAGGGCCTGATTCTGATGACACCTACATTTATTTTAGACTGGTGTGCTCTCTCTATATATCTTATTTAGTCTATAAAGGTACTTACCTACCCTGCCTTGTAACAATGCATGTCACAGCAGTTTCTCCTAATTTACTCTCATTAAGTGAAATCAGACTCAATCCTCAAGTACTGTGGAATAATATACACTTCAATGCAAACAAAGTGTGACCAGGTTTTGTCATACCTGCTATCAAACATGCTGATCTGCTATAGTTTAAGGTGGTGCTTTTAGAAACTAACTGGTTCAGAGAGGCATACGCTTCTGTTAGCAACAGTCTATTTGTTCGATGCTAGCTCCGTCAGCATCTGATGAAATAAAATGTCACCTATGAATGCTTATGCTTCTGTAAACTAGGTAGGCTGCCTGCAGATATTAACTCCCCCTACATCCCCCCCAAAAAACCCAACAAAAACAACTGTTTACTGGAAGAAGCAGCACATTACTTTGACCCAGCTCTGCAGCATCTATATAGCAGGACTTTAGGGGGCTTTTAGCTAAAGCTGATTCAATCAGCTATTAGATAAAAGTGCCAAAAAAGCCCTACTAAAATGCCTGATCTTTATAGATGTCAGGTGTACTGCTGCCTCTTTTGGGCATGCATGGGACTCAGTACGGGAACACACCAAGTTTAAAATAAAGCACCATTTTGGTTTTTTTAATGTTTGCAAGCAGCCCCAGTTTCTAAGCCTGCTGACAGATATTCATTTGAAGGCACGATGGGATCTAATTAGCGATCCCTAAAATTGCACCTCCTGCCACGCCACATGTGCATGGCAGAAGGCATGATTTTGGCATTAGGGATCAGATCCTAATGTGTCTCACTTGCCAGTGCAGATCCCCCTGCACTGGCAAGGTTCCTGACAACCAGCTGACTGTTGGCTGGCTTCTGAGACCCACGGCCAGTTTAAGCTCCTGTGCAGCCCCCACAGCCAGTGATGATTAGCTGATGGTTAGCAGATTGGTACCCCTCTGGCTACACGTTCAATTTAAGGCACAATAGCAGTATTGCCAACTCTCATGATTTTTGGTGTTGTTCTTGAAGTCTACACTTTGGGAGACAGAGCTAAGGTTTTCACATTCCCAAAGCATAGTCTTTAAGGACAATGCCAAAAATCATGAGAGTTGGCAACACTGCAATAGCAACCAGCCACAGAATTGTTGCAACATAGTTTGTGTAACAACTTTGTGGCTGGTTTCCTGTTTTATTGCACCATTAATCACTTGAACATTTGGCTGGGTTACACTTTAAAGACAGTGGTCTCCAAACTTTTTTGATCGCGCACCCCTATCAGTAAAAAAAATTTGAGCATGCACCCCCAATATATGTATATTTATATAAATAGAAATAGAAATAGAAGTTCTAGTATTTTCTTCCCGCACCCCAATCGATCGTCTTGTGCACCCCGTGTGGTATGCGCACCCCACTTTGGAGACCACTGCTTTAAGACACAACTAACAAGTTAATTGTTTGTTAAGTGTAACATCTGTCACAAGCCTAATGTCTACCCTGCCCTGCCTTCTGCCCGACTTCAGACTAATGCAGCTAACTTCTTTGTATTATAGCTTAGCAAACACTTCTTTTAGCTAGGTAAAATGAGCAGAATTTACACCAGAGCAGAGCACTAATGCAAGGTCCTCTCCCCTAATGGAAGTCTTGAAGGGATCTTCTGTAGTGTGGTGAATGACATCCTAGATGAGGAATCATCTTTGCTCTTTGAGTCCTCATTAAAGAAATCATAAGAATAAACTGG